ACGTGTGTGTTCTATTACAGGCAGTTATGGATAAGTGGTTCTGTCCGTTCTGAAATAAATTAATCATCCTGTCTACATTTGTTCTTTGTTTCATCTGCTTCTCCCATCTGTTCTCTTCCTCTCTCTCTTCCAGCTGCCTCTGTTTCAGCAGAGGTTCTCAGTTCAACTGAGATCAGAAGTTGGCCCAGCATGTGTTTGCAAATTTTATTGTATGTGTCTTATTGTGGTTTTGTTCAGGGGTTTGTTTTTTTCTTTTAAAAATCTCTTTCTCTAAAAATGGATGCAAGTCCCAGGCCTTATGGTCTCCCTTTTGTGGGAAGTCATAACATTTTCCCCTATGGGTGGTCAGGTGAGAAAGGCAGTGTCAACAGAAACCTGACTGATGGAGCCCCTCTGAGCTCAATAATCCATTCAGCTTCCAGTTTTGTGGGCAAGGCCTGCTCAATAGCCAGCCACGTTTAGGGAGCAGAATGCGGGGTCTTTGTGAGGCAGGGCTTGGAGGCCTTATGCCCCTCTCAGCTCCTACTCTAGCGCTCCACCCCAGAGTGAACTTTGTACCTCATCGAGTGCTTTGTATATACTCTTGAGAGTATGGCCAGATGTGGCAGTTTTATTTGTTTTACTTAGGTATATATACCCTATTCATGTAGCTCCGAATACAAACACTTATCAAAGTAGATTAAATAGACTAATGCCATCCATAATGAAACAAAGCTTCTAAGTCAGTGTTTTCATGACATTTCTAATTCAAACATTTCTGTATGGCTTAACCCGTACAATAAGCAGCTGGTTTGCTTCTTTTCTTCATCTGCTGTGAGGGCATCTTCAATATAAAGAAAAATGTAGCAAACTAAATATGTCATGATTCACTTGAAACATGATTTAATGTTTCTGAAGGGTCACACGTTTCTGCCCTGCTTGACTGTTCTTGCTAAAACCACCGTAGTTTGCTGCACATGCATGACATTTGAGAACTGTTGTAGGTTTGTAGAACAACTTGTGTTCCAGAGCCGAGCACACTCCTAACAGTCATGTGCAAAGCCATAACTCTTACCGGTGCATTTGGAAAGCAGAAAGTTTTCCAGTGCAACTGAAGGATCCGATTCTGTTCTTCATACTGCAGCTGAAATGTGAGAGTAACTCCACTTGAAATCAGCAAAATTGTTGCACTGGACTAATATAAAAATCAGACATCAGTTTCTAGACATAACATTTTTCAGTTTTAACAGTAAGACCATAAAAAAACCCCCTTGAAGGTTGCAACCCATTTGTTTCTTGCCTGATCCCACTGACCCTCCCTTCAGCCAGTTGGCTCTCAATTCGTCCAGTTTCTCGCAGGTACCCAGTACTGGTTTCATTCTGTCATTAGATTCATTACTTTCAACTATTCCTTTTTATCCCATACTGTCCAGCACATATCCCTTCTGAATTTGCTTCGGTGGGTTTCCTGTTCCATGCTGTTGGTTACTGGTAGTCATGTTATTAACAGAGGGAGAAAGAGGCTCCATGCTTTAAGTTTCCATACTAGAATAATAGTCTAGAATAATTTTGAGTTGCCATTACAGTCCTGACCCTAGTAACCCTAGCCTGGCTTGGCAGCACAGCGCAGCTAGTGATCACTAGGAGCTGGGAGCAGTCTGACCATGCTCTGCGGGGCAAGAGCCCTCAGAGATCATAGCTACTAGAAAATCAAGGGGTTTACTAAGTATGTGTGTAATGCATTTTTTAAAAAAGCTTGCACAAAGACAGCAAAAAGGACTCCTGGCAGGAGTGCCCCTTCCCCTGCCAAATTTTATATACGTGCTTTAAAGCATTAAACAAATTGCATACAAGAAATGGTCTCAATTTTTTATATGTGGGCAAAACTTATTTTTCCTTAACTTTCTTCTCAGAAACAACTGAACCATGACTCTTGAAATTTAAAAACACGTGAATAACAACAGCCTGGAGCAAACACCAGGCATGGAAAATTTCAACCGAACTTGTAAAAGTTTAACTAAGTTATAACAGTGTCTAATAGCATGAAATGTCAAAAAGGCTCTTAATAACAATAGAATAACGGTGAAGCAAATCCAGTATTTCTATGGAGGGTTGATTAGGGAACGAATAACATCACAGGAGGAATAAATGGAAATAAACGAATGGTGGGTAGTAATAGGTAGCACACAAAAGCTATAGGAATTGTAGAAAAGTTCAGAAAGCACTTCAGGATCTGCTTTTCTCAATATATTATTTTCTAATCATACGAAATGGTAGCGGCAGATTTAATAACCTTTAACCTCATCTTTCCTACAGGAAGAAAAATATAAAACACACTGGAATTTTGCAAAGTGATGATAAAGTGAGGAATGCTTTCAAACAACCAACTCTTTTCATGGGTAAGGAATAATATCTTGGGTGATCTTTTGACTTTGTCATTCCAGTCGGATATTGTTGTAAACCAGGCTAATGTATGGCAATTAACTCTGTGGCAGCCACTCCCATTGTAGTGGTATAAGATCCCATTTCTCCCAACTATGGCAAAGAAAACTCCCCATTGCAGGAAACAAAACTACCTGTTAATCAACCTTTCCAATGCATTGTAATGTATGGTTTGTTAGATATGGATGACACTACTAGTGTACATCTGGGCCATGGCACGGATGAAGCTTTCTGAAACCCTCTCTTGCACTTGGTTTTCCCATGTATTTCACCCACAGTGGATACATCCTCTTTTCTGTTGCTGAAACATGAAGAACAGATTCCCTTTCTTTTTCTCTCCAAAAGGAGTTTTGCATCAGAACAAAAAATAACTAGTAATTCACAAAGATGAACGGACTCCAGCTGAAGTTCTTTGTCTAGCAGCTTACAGGTAGTCTTTCCTTCTGAGGAGCAAAGTGTGTTAGCAACAAAGATGGGGTAACCATTTACTGTCATGGTCTATGCTATACACACACTGTGGCTTATGAAAGGTCATTGGTCCCTGGGGCTCTCAGTCCCGAACCTACCAAAACCACTGAATTTCTCTGTTTCCTGGGACCTGCTTTTGTCTAGGATTCAGGAGTAACTCTTTACACAGATTCTTGGTCCCTCTTGTTTTCTGCCTGCAGTGCACATGATTCATATGGTTTGCATCCGTACAAATGAGACACTTTGGCCTTCTGATTAGACAGTTCTTGGGTAGAATAAAATAACCTGGGACAGCTGTACACCTTCTTTTCACCTGTTCTTGGAAGAGCTATTTGTGTCTTTAGGGGAGTATCAGCTCAGACTGGTCCCTTCTAACCATTCTGTTCCATCAGCTAAATTTGCTCCCTTATCCTGTACTATGGGTTTTCCCCCAGATCCTAGAGATTTATTTTAATAGACAAAAAAAAAGCAGAAACCCAAGACTCAGTGCAAGCAGCTGTAAATCCAGCTGGACCTCAGAATAGACACTGGTGCAACTTCCAGCATTTTCATCAGTAATGAGTTAGAACCTACAACAATAGAAGAAAATTCTATTTTCTTCTGTTGAAATAGAAAGGAGTAAGTCCCAGTTCATACAGGGTACAGTCCTTTAGGCAACATTGCCTGTCTGAAAGTCTTTATGAAAGCTGGAGCTTTGTGGTATGCCAAATGCAGAACATTCTGACAAAAGAGTAGAAAAGTATATTCCAAAGAAAGGAATGTAGTTATATTTAATTCCCTGAGAATATTTCTCTAGGTTTGGGCTTAATTTGTCCTCCAATATGCTTTTCCCCAAAAGGCTTAATTTAATTTCATACTCTCTCTTTAATATGAAGCAGTAGAATGCATCATAATATTTTCCCACTTGCCAGGATTTGCTTTTCTAAATGTGCGCATTTATTGAACAAGGTAAAACCAGATTGCTTTCTAGTTCGGCAGCAGACATGGTAGATATGCCTTCAGAAACTCCCTGGTAGATGGCTCGGACCCTCTGAATCCTACATGGTCTAGTATCCACAATGTTGGGGGGAGAGACAATGACGCTCTAAGGAGTATTTATCAACAGAGAGAACTTTCAAAAAAATGGGTTAGTTTTCACTAGGTTGATGTGCTACTGACCTAGCCAGACATGACACAATACATTTCAACCCATCTTCCAGCCAAGACATATTATCTGCTGATTTAGTTATACTACGATTATTATTTTTTTACAATTGAACATGTTCTCCCAAAAGACTATACGTACTGCATATCAGTCAGTGGTGGTTTTTTCCACCCTCAACTGGAAAGCTGCATTTTCTGTGAAATATTTTAGTGTCATTTTCAACCTGATCTAATTTTGATGGGAGAGGGACGGTATCCTTTTTATTGTGTTTTGTGTTGTATAACAAAAAAACCTACAAGGAGCATCACGTAGCCAACACTGTAATGGCTGCACACAGTCATTATTAGTGAGCACTACCATTTCAGGAGCTGATATCCCTAAGGACTACGCTCTATTTTACCCAAGGAAAAAAAGTTAGGGGAAAGGACTGTGGCTATTACTTTAAAAAAAAAAACAACTCACAGTATATTTAGTATAAGCAAAAATTGTCATCTTGATTTCTAGCATTGGTTGGTCAAATTATTAATCTTTGTGCTCGTTTCTGCCTAAGGAAAAAATGGCTTCTTGCAGTAAGTTTCTGTGTATACGCTCCTTCTCTTTCACATTCTTTTAAAGCCTGAGGCCTTGCTTTTGGTTTCACTTATATTTGGGCTTTACTCTAGCAGGCTAATGTAAAGAAATGTACATCTGCTGTTAATGGGTCACATTCGCCTCTGAGCACCAGGAACAGCAAGCAGCCATTAATCCATGATAACTTGTTATTTAACCCAGATTTACAGCTGCGTATTGTCAGTGGACTTCCCCTCTCAGCTTGGTTGTGCTGCAGCAGTGTTTTTCAAAGTGAAGGTCATGGTCCCCTTGAGAGCTGTGGAAAGGTTCAAAGAGTGGGTTGGAAGTTGCAGGAGAAGTGGTGTTAATCACTAGCAGCCCCAGCTGCGGTTCCACCAGTTTTGCTTTGACTGCGGCGATGGTGCAAGTGGTCGTCCTGTCCTTCCTCTTGGCTGTCAGCTCGTCTGCTGCACACCAGCCTCTGGGTGGCTCCAGTATGCATCTGTGGAGCCACACCACCATGAACCAGATCAAAGGGGTCGACCTGGCTGGTGAAATGCTCTGCCAAGCAAACGCGCGCTCTGTCACAGCCGTATCTGTTTCCAAGCCCAGTTCACCGTGCAGACACAAAATACGAAAGTGTCTGTTGGCTTCATGCAGGCTGCGGCACAGGGCAAGAACAAGCAGCTTTGCAGAGGGGAGTACACAAGCTGTGGACACCAGTTTAAGCAATACAGCCACCAACTGGGAGCATGTAGTGTCAGATCATTCAGGGTGGGGGAAAGAGGAAGCTGTAACTACTTGCTGCAGTTTTTAGAATAGCCAGAAAACTACAAATTGATTTTAACTGCAGGCAGTTTGTCTGCATGGAAGATCACATTTAACTAATACAACATATATGAGCAGCCATTCTGGGTCGGACTAATGTTCTTATTAGCACTGTATCCTGCTTCCCACATGAGCCAAGAAGTGTACAAAGAAAGCAGGCATGCATAGTACTTTCCCGAAATACTGTCCCTGCTGCCAGCCACTTGCAGCTCAGGGGCTTTCTGAGCTACATGTGGTTGAATTTAGCAATCCTCAGTGGATTTCTCTTCTATAAATTTCTATTTCCCCTTGAACCCATGTAAAATTTTAGTATCTGCAATGTCCAAAGACAGTTTATGCCTTCATGCAGTAATTGCAGCAAGTCCTTGCTTCTCTGCCCTGGAGGAAATGAGCTGCAGCTCACTCATGGAGTCACACCAAGGCAGATGAGCCAAAGGGAGTGGATGGGATTGCCACAGTTCTGAAAGGTTAAAGAAAACTCTTTTTATTCAAAAGCAGTAACCAGATCAATGAGTACATGAGTAGTGTCTTCAAGAACTTAAGAGACCAGATCCTTTAGCTCGTGAGCATGTGTTTATCTTTACAAACTTCAACAACAGCAAATTGTAGTGGCGCTTAGCTTTGTAAGTGGCCATCTACTGGCTTGTAACATCTGCTTTTGCTGCTGGTGGTGTTCTGGGGGAGGGAGCTGAACAGCAATGAATAATAATTGGCTCCATGCATAATCATCACAAAATCAGAAAATGAACAGCTTAGATTGGCATATGATGAGTTGAGTCATTTATTAGCTAAACAGTGGCAGAGCTCTCTGTTCATCGATCAAATATTTCAATATCCAGAATTCAGTGTTTGATTTTTGTGCATTGGATCAAAGCCCTGCCAACTTAATTTCTGCCAAGGATCCATCAAGCTTTTGTGCTGACCACATGTTGCAAACAAGCTGTACAAATTCTTCATGCTGATGCATTTGTCTCTTTCTAACAATGACTATTAACTGGATAGGTATACAGTACAAGCGTAAAACCTGTCCCATTTAGCTTCCAGTTTCTGTAGGTTGTTGATTTGGTTTACCAGATATCGGTTGAGGTGCATCTTCAGCAGAATGTGTACGAGCTTTCCTTTTGGTAAATTCACATCACAGCCTCCATTCCTAGCTCACAGTAGCAAAAATGTGCCCTTCAGAGGCTCATTTATTTTCTCTTACAGTGTGTATCTAAGACTTTGAAAAACAGCAGTAACCTACATGTCACCCTTGAGGACAGAAGCTGGGAAAGCTCAAAAATACCAAGCTGATGATTTCTAAGTGCATCTGAGCTGTGACATGATAGATGTGCATGTACAATGAGTACCAGAGAAGAAACATGTACCGTAACATGCACGTTAGAAGGTGCTGTGGGTTAACCCTGGCAGGCAGCTCAGCCCCGCTCAGACGCTCACTTACTCCCTCCCAGTGGGATGAGGGAGAGAATTGGGAGGGCAAAAGTGAGAAAACTTGTGGGCTGAGATAAAGACAGTTTAATAATAGTGACAGTTGTGTGTGCAAGCAAAGCAAAATAAGGAATTCATTCGCTGCTTCCCATCGGCAGGCAGGTGTTCAGCCATCTCCAGGAAAGCAGGGCTCCATCATGTGTAATGGTTACTTGGGAAGACAAATGCCATCACTCCAAACGTCCCCTGCTTCCGTCTTCTTCCACCAGCTTTTATTGCTGAGCCTGACATGATATGGTATGGGATATCCCTTTGGTCAGTCGGGGTCAGCTGTCCCGGCTGTGTCCCCTCCCAACTTCTTGTGCACCCCCAGCCTACTCACTGGTGGGGTGGTGTGAGAATGTAAGCACTGCTCAGCAATAACGAAAACATCCATGTGTTATCAACACTGTTTTCATCACAAATCCAAAACACAGCACCACAAGAGCTGCTATGAAGAAAATTAACTCTATCCCAGCCAAAACCAGTACAAAAAGTCTATATTTTCTCTGTACACTGGGCTGGGAATGCGTTGATTTGCACATCATCACTTAGCAGTCGTAGCATTTGACCACTGGGAGGTCAGTACATATCCTAAACATTAAAGAGAAAATAAAACAAAAAAGTCAGTAGCTAGTGTTAGGTAAAAGCCATGGAAGTATTAAGATGTTATCTTCACCATTTATCTTTTATCATCCAAGTTAACTAGCTGCTTCCTTAGTTTCACCAATACTTCCTGTCAGTGTTCAGAGAAAGGCTCCTGGAGGGATCGATCCAGAGCAGTGATGCTCTGAATTGCTCTCGGAAG